TGTCACTGTCTGATAAATCAGAAACACCTGTCTCTTATACACATCTAGATGTGTATAAGAGACAGCCTTGGATACGGGCCTGCTCTTGGAAGCACTGCTTCCATTCCAGTGTTATTTGTTTTAGCTAGGGTATGCACTTTGCTTGCCTTGACGGTCCGCCACTGGTCAAGTTTGATTGATTGATTGATTGGTTGGTTGGGCAGAGAGGCTATAAACCCAGGTGCCTCCCATTTCACCAAGAAGAATGAGAAATGAGATGATCATATTATATGAATGAATGAGCAGTGTGAAACAATATAAATGAATGATAGCATGGGGTGATAATATAAGATGGTTTACACCTAGATATCCACGTACAAACGTAAACTAACTAGGCCTAAATTAACCCTCTACACCAGGCCAAGTAGGACTGGCCCTAGGCCTACCTAACTACAGTAACCTAGGCTAGGCCTAGGATAGGAATAAAAATCGTGTAGTGTAATGCAGCACTACAGTACCACTCTACTAGTACTTAGGCCCTAGACTAGGCCTACCAACCTTTCGTGTCTTGCTGGATTATGTCTGGCATAACTGAAGGACCTGTTGGAGACCTAGGCTTAGTAATACTACAAGCTTTTCCTCTTCGAATTTGAGACGGCTGGGTATTTTGGTCCATCATTTATTATTCGTAACTTATTCTAACATGCTGCTTTCCCAACACCTTCAACAAACCTCATACTTCGACCACCGTCGGCGTGCAAATACTTGACCGGCCAGGGTTTTGCCCAGAGAGATAGTCGACAGGCTTCACGGCCTCACGCCATCACACGGCCAAATTCGGCCAAACTTTTTTTCGATATCGGCCAAAATTGGCCAGATTTTAATCCGATTAGAAGACGATGATAGTGGGTATATAATATTCATTTAAAATACAAAAATTACACGAATATCAGCGGTCATTTATTTGAAATTGAAGAAATTAAATGGTATACACAGAACAATGTTAATAAAAGTCAGGGGTCCTCCCCTGGGAAAATTTTGATTCTAATGGCCGCAAATGAACTTTCCCGATTTCTGAGGTGTCTTTTTTAATGACCTTTAAAAGTTAAAAACAAGGTTTTTCCCCCTCTTGAAACAGGTCAGATAATTTTGTCTCTTCCTATTTATAGAAAAAAAAAATCAAAGACATAGGCAGTATATTACTATATTCCAACAACAGTGAAATATTGGATAGGCCTACGTAACGTAGTCTTTCTTCCATGGATCGATGAACCGAATAGGAATGAAGAACGCACTTTCGTACATAAATTATTCCGTCGTCGAACCAAAACCTTTAAGTTCTCCGAATTCAAGGATTTCCCCCTCTTGAAAAAGGTCAGGTAATTTTGTCTCTTCCTATATAGAAAACAAAAATCAAAGACATAGGCAGTATATACTAGGCCCCTATATTCCAACAATACTGAAATATTGGATAGGCCCACGTCTTTCTTCCATGGATCGAACCGATAGGCATGAAGAACACACTTTCGTACATAAATTACAAAAATTCAAGGTTCATACAGGCCTAGAACTTAACTCCAAAGTAACTTCGAAAATTGGAAATTGTTTATTTTTTTTTTTTTTGTTTGTTTATACAGTGTTACCTCTTGGAAGTTATTAACTTAAGGCCTATGGTTCAAATGAGAATTTCCATCTTTTTTATTTTTTTTAAATTCAAATATTTTCCTACGCCATTCGGATGCAGTGCCGTCCTTCTAATAATGCTTAAATTGACTCTTAATCTATGGGGTTAAACGAATCATACATGATTCAACATAGGCCTACGTATATACATTTTATCATTATCAGCAATATGCAAGATATACACGTGCCTGTTTGTACTAACATTTCACTATACCACCGGTCGGCATTTCATTATACTACGTTACATCAAGAGAATTTGAGGTTTTTCATTCCCTTGTTTGATATGCTTCTAAACTTAGGAATAATCTTCCAACTGACGTTAGAGATATTTCTGATCCTAATCCTTTTAAATATGCAGTAAAGACAATTACCGTAGCCCCTACTTGTTTGCCAAATCTCACTCTTCTCCACTTTCCTTTTGTGTTTAATTTTTGTAATCTGTATTATTTGGTCTTTTTTTTTGTGAGACTGTACTATTGGGATGTATGGGGTTCCTGAATAATGACCAATTTTATGCCTACCACTGTTTTCCCGAATTATTGAGGCTTGGCTTGCGCTTCCTACCGCAAGGAAACTAAAGGCCCATACCCCCAGTACCAGTACCAGTTGTAACTATAGAGTGGGCTATATCAAATTTATAAACGTAGTGATTGAATAAAAGCTATTTCGATCCACCTCCACCCCAATCCCTTTTGAATCATAAAGAAATCAAATAATACGGACCTTAATATATTGAATATACAGTAGGCCTATACGGAATATACAGTGGGATATCTAGAAGTCTTG